TGGAGACCATGAAGAGAGAGAACAAGAACCTGCAGCGTATGTTTCCATATTGATTCTGATAGATTCAAACTCCATTAATATTACATTCATTATACCCTATTACTAAACAATATTAATTAGATTAATTTCCTTCCATAATAATACCTATTTATTCACTCTTCAGAGGAGATCTCAGACCTGACTGAACAAATCGGTGAGACTGGAAAGACCATCCATGAGCTTGAGAAGGCCAAGAAGACAGTAGAGACAGAAAAGTCAGAAATCCAGACTGCTCTAGAGGAAGCTGAGGTAATTACACCCAGGGGGGGGGCATAAAGGTGTGTGTGTGTGTGTGTGTGGGGGGGGGTTACACCCATTCCTAGGGCCCCTGATGACCAGGTCCCTAAAAATTTTCAAACATTATTGGATTGGTCCAGTGGTGGAGGAAGTACTGAAACTTACTATTTAAGTAAAAGTACAAATATCCTGCAAAATATGTACTCAAGTAAAAGTAGAAGTGCTACATCAACAATCTTACTTAAGTGAAAGTACTAAGTACTTACTTTTAAATTTACTTTAAAGTATTTTTTTAAGTAAAAGTACTCACATAATGGTTTGTCTCAACTTCTGGGGTGGGTGTGCAATTTTGTAAAAGAATAGTAGATATACTGTACTGACTTACGCCTCTACCGATGTCATTGCTCGTAATAATTACAAGCAACTATACAGTATATGTGTATTGGAAAGTTTGGTGTGCTTATTGTGCGTGCACTCTGCAATACTGTGTGTACCCTAACTTAGAATTCTGTGGATGACAAGTTATCTACTAGGTATTACCCACTAATATACCATTAAGATAAACCAGTCAGGACATGATATATCTTTAAATCAATTATGTACTTGCAAAACTATTCAACACATCTGTTAAGAGCAGTAAAAGGGAAACACAAGGACTCATTCTTTGCTCCTTTGAACTCAAATAACTTTCTTAAATACGGCCAAGGATTTCTTTCTGAATCAGAGCTGCAGGGCTCGTGCTCACACTCAGTCGATGTTGGCTCTGGGTCCATGTTGAATGTCTCATCTTCTTGAAATCAAGCCAGTCTACCAGCTCGTGCTGCTAATTGACGCGCGCTCTGCCATCATTGGAGCTAATAAAGCCACCTGATTGGTAGGACATGGCAAACAACACCTGAACGCAATAGGCTAACTATTTTTTCATGCAAGATTTTGAGGAAATTGTGTTCATAAAATGTAACGACTAACGGCATAAATTGTAGAAATTGTAGAAATAATAATATGCATTATTATTTTTACTTAAGTAAAGTACAGATACGTAAAAATGTACTTAAGTACAGTAACGAAGTACAAGTACTTTGTTACATTCCACCACTGGATTGGTCTGGGTTGGGGGCCCAATACGACATGCATTCATGGGGCACAAAATCTCCAGCAGTACCCTGATCACACCCATAAAATAGCAACACCACAAAAAATAATGCTGGGATACATTGGGCATTACATGCATCATTTTATCATTTATTTTCACAGGGTACACTGGAGCATGAGGAGTCTAAGATCCT